GAACCCCTAACCCCCCCTTGCTACGGGCCTGCTGATAGGGCGTATATGAGTACTAATAATTTTAAATGGGAACATGTTACAGAAGTTAGGTGGCTGAGCACAAAGTATGAATCCAAGATCAACCATATGGTGCAGTGGATGATGGAAAATGGCATCACTTAACTAAGAGTTCTACAAATGATTTGTTAATCCCTATTAAGGCATATTCTGCTACTATTTCCAGTTCTATATGCTGCTTTCATAATTTCCATTACATACCAGTACAAAGAGAGAAAATGAAATTAAAATCTAGAAAATAGGGTGACAATAGATTCACAGAGAAATTTATATATTCTTTACAAAGGCTGCCACAACCTAATAAGGCTAACCAACCCAAAATACAGAAATGCCACAAACATCTTTAAATAAATATAATTATGTCAAAACACTGGTATGTCTTAGCTGTTTGAAATGGATATGTATTGATTTAATTTCCTTTTTTTTTCAGGAACACCAAGCCCTTAAAAAGTATGAAACAACCTCAGGTACATTGTGACAATTATTCACCCCATCTCAATGGCAGAAAGCACAAAATATCTACATAATTTAATATATCATCAAATACAATATAGCATTAAATATTAATTAGTTCTTCTGTTCTGTCACAACATAAAGTTTTATTGTATAATTGGATTTTTAAATTTGTGAACTGAATAATTCATTTCCTATATAAACATCATATAACATGAAATCATCTCTTCAGGTATATCCCATGACTAGTACTGGGTTATGAACAAAAGAGCCCAGGATCGGCTACATCTTCTCTATGATTAAAATGTCACAACAGCACAAGGCTCACAATGGGCTTCTGGAATGACTCATTGAGATATGTATCAGGATTTTTTCCCTTTTGAGAGCGATCTTCCCCGATTTGGTGAATCACGATTGATGTAATACAGAGGTGGTATGAACTAGAAGCTGCTCTTAGACCGACTTAATGAAGGGCCTTTTACAGATGTATCAGAAATCATGCCTCATTGTGCAATGTATATTTATCTTGCTCCCTCAAATAAACAACAAATATTAGAAAATAAATGGTAAATAGTTATGGAAATGTTACTACTCAAAGCATTAAATCTTAAAATTTCACTAAGTATTCTTCACTAAGTTAGAAACAAACCAGTATAAGCTTCACAGGGTGAAGCTAAGTACACAGAGGGTTGGGACACCGTGGGGACACATCTGTTGAGGGCACCATCTTTTCTCTTTTTTGGGCGAAATAGAAGTGAATATTTTCACTTTGAGGCTGAAACTAGGGATAACAGATAGTTCCTATTTCTCTCACTCAGAAGCCATGAACAATCCTGGGTCAATTTCAGTTAAATTTTGTATTTCTTTCTATTTCTTAAAAATTAGGCATTCTTTGTTCGAGGCAATATTAACCAAGAACTCAACAGATTTTAACAAACAACTTTGCGTATTGCTGTTTTCTATGTTCAAAAACCTTAAAGATGGAGACTTTCGGAATCCATTTCTATCTTACACTTGGATCAGTGCAAAGCAGTGGTGGAGGATTGTGTCAGAAGCAACTTGAGAAATAGCAAGTTGCTTTTGGTGTGAGAGAATTGGCTATCTGCAGAGACGTTGCCCAGGGAACGCCCGGATCCTGTGGGAGGATCCAGGCGTTCCCTGGTCTCATGTCCCTGCATGGGAGGCTGGGGCTGACAGACAAGAGCTCACCCTGTCTCGCAGATTCGAACTGCTGACCTTCAGATCAGTAGTTCAGCCAGCACAAGGGTTTAACCCATTGCGCTACCGTGGCTCCCTGTCTTTAATGATGAAAAACCTTTTACTAATAAAATGAACCATTCTACCAATTTGAGCCAGTAACAGCTAGAAGACTATATAATGTCCACTCACAGATTATTGCTGACAGTGTCCAGCATATGAAGTTCAGTGGATTAAGGTAGAAAATAAGCACGCTTCAATAAATACCACCCAGGAGTCTCTGGTGGTGCAATGGGTTAAACTCTTGTGCTGGCAGGACTACTGACTGACAGGTCAGCGGTCAGCTCCTCTGTCAGCTCCAGCTCCTCATGAGGAGACATGAGAGGAGCCTCCCTCAAGGATGCTAAAACATCAAACATCCAGGCATCCCCTGGGCAACGTCCTTGCAGACGGCCAGTTCTCTCACACCAGAAGCGACTTGCACTTTTACAAGTAGCTCCTGACACAAACAACCCTGACACACACACACATAAAAAATAAAACCCCTGGAGACTGCATTCATTTATAATGCATTTATAATGAAACAGTTCTTTCAAATCAATGGTCAGATTTCATTGATGGACATGCCTTTTCAAATCTCTAAAGCAATTTCTTGATGGACAAAACTAACGTTTTGCAGGTGATGATATTTATTCATATACCACCCCCCCACCCCGCCTCAGCCAACATGGGATATATCACTCAAAGAAAACTCTCTACCGAAATCATCTTGAAGGAGTCTGATATTCATTATTCTGTTGTAGCAAAATGAGTTATATCAAAGAAGAATCTGGCAACTTTAGAGAAGGTAGTGGAGATGAGAAAGAAAGGTGGTATGCTTATTATACTGTCTGTAACAAGATAATTTCTATGTACCTTTCTCATACTTTTGAGTGTCACTATTTCTATAGAAACTATTGTGCCAGTTCTCATGGTAATATAATGTTTTTTTAAGGCAAGGCTTTCTGATAGCCCTACTTTAGATTTCTAGCTGCAAGGCTTTTAAGTACTTTACAAAAGCCACAGTACAATAAGTAGAAGCCATTTGAGAAATTAAACTTTCTAGTGCTTTCCTCGCCTCAAGGCTCAGCTTGGTTTCTTTCAAGGTTTCTCATTATAACCCAAGAGTCTTCATGCAAAAAAGAAAACAAAACAAAAAGGAATAAAATATTGCCCACACCAGTGACCATCTTGCAAAATTATAGGTTTCCAATCTCAGTAGAAATTACATTGGAACAAAACAGCTGGAAAATTTAATGGGGAAAACTGCAAAAAAAGATTTGCTTACCAGAATTTCCCCCCTGTAGATACAAGTAGGTTTTATTCACCACATCTTCTCAAAAACGTCTGTCAGATTTTTCCTGCAATAAAAGAGAGAACTGTTTAGATATTTACTCCCATCTCGCAAAAGATACACACATGCAAAACATAGTGGATGCTTCTGACAGATTTCCTTTAAAAACTGCTAAGACTGAGTTATCAGGAACAAGACATAACGAGGGCCACTGAAGATGGCATATCACACATAAATACTGCTGTTCGTGTGAAAAACATACACTTGTAGATGACTACAGCATCAGACTTAACTAGCAAATCAAAAAATCCCTGCATTTAAAAAACACTTTTAAAGGATTACATTACAATGCTAATAACATGGAAATCTTCACAGATTTTAATCAAATCCCTTTAATAATCAAGAATTTCCAAATAATTACATTTTAGCACCATGTGTCTAGTAGGTAAGAGTCTTCTTGTGGCTTCCCCTTCCTCCTCTATTGCCATGAGGAGAAATAAACCAGAGGATACAGCTGGCCCTCTGCATCCATGGATTCAACTATCCACAGCTTGAAAATATATATTTCTAAAGAATTTCACCAAAAGCAAAATAAATAAATAAATAAATTTTTAGATTAATTATGTTTATCTTCACTAGAGTTTCTCTCTTTGAAAACCACATAAAAGGAGGGAAAATCTGTTGTTCCTGTATATACAAAATACTGGCGGTAAAAAATATGGAATGCTTCAGGAATTTTTGCACAGGGCCATGCTAATCTTCTTTGTATCATTTGAATTTTAGCATATGTGTTGCCAAAGAGAGCACAAAAAGACAAAAAAAATGATGTTACTATTTTATATAAAGCACACGAATTTACGACATCATTATATACAATGAGATTGAGCATCCACAGATTTTGATATTCATGGAGTCTTGGAACCCACTTTCAATAGATACCACGAGCCCAATGAACTTCCATTCTAGCAGACTCTTAGCTTCTTGTTACTGTGGCTTAAAATAAATTCCAGTTTGTTAAATAAGCAATTCAAACCAAAGTTCCCTGGGAATTGTAGAAACCCTTTCACAGACGTTAGCCATGTCTACACTTATTAAAGTTAATTCCTTCAGAACTGCCTTCAAGGTGTTTGTTGACTTACGGAGACCCCATGGATTACATAGGATTTTCTTAAGAATGAAATTACTCAGCAGCTCATACTGCAGTTTGAAAAGGACTTTTTGGGCAAGCTTATATTAGCTTTACAAACTAAGATATGAGCACATTCTTTAGCAGTTTGCAAAACTTTTTCTAAGTTAGCAAACAAGAAAGCTAGCAAACAAGATACGAATCTTTCCATTAATAACAGTGTCTTATTTAATATAACCCCCCCCTCTCTCTATATATATATATCCATACACACACATATACATACATATATCTTCAGAAAATCTTAGGACATTAATTCAGTTGTGAATTATGGCTTAATATCCTAGCTTGTTTCAAAGCTTTTAACTATAGGTTGCCAGTTTAGATTACATGGAAAATTATAGTTAATGTAATATTTCCTTGGTTGCTCATTCATTCCCATAAAGAGACTATCTGTGCAGACAGCTAATATGCTAATTCAGAGATGAAATTGAGGGATCAGGTGATTGTCCAAATGCGGACAAATCTGTCCATGTCAAAACATTAGCTGTAGGAATTTAAACCATTCCTGTTTCATGACATCCAAACTCTTGGTGCTTTCACTACTTCTTTGTGTAAACAAAGCAATAAGCACTTTAGCCTTTCACAACTATATTGCACCTGGAAACTGGAAACAACATATCAGACAAAGCAAGTGACAGGTACATAGATATAACTAAGGCAGTCTGAGAAGTAAGAAGAGTAAGATGGACAAATGCCACTGTTTTGCCAAGGCTCACTAAATTTCTCTTGACAGCTTCTCCAGTTCTCCCCTTAGGCTATATACACAGACAGAACAGAATACAATATAGGCAAGCATCCCTGTCAGAACAATTTTTATTATAATAATCATCGAGAGAACGAAAAGCCTGCTGTCTTGTGCTTATATAAAAATATGGTGGACAAAACAAGAAAGCTCTTGGATGAGCTGGGCTTCGATGAAAAGTGGTGCAATGCCAACTAAGACCTTACAACTTAACTGTGAAACAAAAACAGGTTGAATATCTCCTCAACAGTGCATAACTTAATAAATAATGAAACATTTGGAAATTGCTGTACACAACTGACGACTAATGATATGGACCAACTCCATCAAAACATGCTATGGCACTTCCCTCGCCTACATCAACTAAGTGCTAAGCTAGCATTGTTCTGTCAGATGCATACTCTGTACGCTTTCAAGTTGCCTTCTGACATATGACAACCACATGAATTTTATAGTTTCTTAGGGAATGCAAATTTAGAGGTGGTTTTGCCACTTCTTTCATCTGAAATACAGCCTGAAGCTACAGCCCAAATGTTCATTTCAACAACAGACCTTCTTAGTTGTTGTAGATTTTTTTGGGCTATATGGCCATGTTCTAGAGGCATTCTCTCCTGACGTTTCGCCTGCATCTATGACAAGCATCCTCAGAGGTAGTGAGGTTTGTTGGAACTAAGAAAATGGGTTTATATATCTGTGGAAAGACCAGGGTGGGACAAAGGACTCTTGTCTGCTGGAGCTAGGTGTGAATGTATATCCTAGCCATTCCGAATTGTCATTGCACATGTTCCTTAATTATTCTCACTGCATTATTTATTAGCCAAAGGCTTGATCCCACAACCATGTCTTTGTTCGATTTCTAAAGGTCAGGAGGGAGAGCGCTGATCTAATCTCGCTGGGAAGGGAGTTCCAGAGCTGAGGAGCTACAACTGAGAAGGTCCTGTCTCTCGTCCCTTCCAACCGCACTTGCCAAGAAGGTGGACCTCCCCAGATGATATTAACCTCTGTGATGGTTCATGGAGGGAGATACGTTCGGACAGGTAAGCTCGGACAGAACTGTTCTAGTATCTGACCTACTTTGGAGATATTTACAGTCACTGAAGTTAGGGTCACAGAACCCCTGCAAAAGTGGGAAAACGATGAATAAAAAACTCTTTTGAAGCACAAGGTTGACCACAAAACTGCACTGAAGGGCCTACAAATGCCTAGAGAAGTGCTCTCTAGGGATCTCTAGGTTCTGCAGTGCAATTTTATGGTTAACTTCCAGGGGAAACTGTCCATAGAGTCAATTTGGATTATTTAGTCATTTCTTGAGAGAACAAAACACAAATATTTGTATCTGCAAAAGAGAAACCTGTAAATGTGTGTGAGGGTGGCTTTGTTTCTTTCCCCTTGAATCTCTCCACAGCACTGCCTTTCTACAGCGGTGGAATTGCATACTCTTGTGAGGCAAGAAATATACCACCAGGAATGGATGGCATAGTAATTCAGCTGCATCAAGCTTTAGCGACAGACTCTATTAGGTTCTACCGACAATCTGTAAACAAAAATGGAATGTAAACAATGGTCCACATAGTGAATATGTTTAATATACATTCCAATCTTTTCAATACAAGCAAAGAGACAGCTGAAAAGGAAGCAGAATTTTTGTGTGCACTGAGAGGAGTTTCTTGTCTGTGCAAAACAGATGAGTTTTTGCAGTTCTATTCAGCTTCTCCCAAGTCTATTTAATTAGAAGTCAACTGAGGGCAGGTAAAAATATATTCAAAACCAAACCAAAAGTAGTATTGATGCAGACTAATCTCTTTGCTTCCCAAAGTAAAACTGACCTCAATGAGCCATGATTAAATTTAATCGTATCTATGAAGGCTACTTAACAGATCTTACGGCATTTCCACTCAGAAGGACCTGGTCCCTTTTATGGCTCCAGTAGATACCCTCTGTGGTCTTAAGGTAGTTGTCTGAAAAGATATTCCAATCCATTTTTTTTTGTTATCAGTAGGATTCAGTGATTTAATAGAAGATAAATCCCACTACCTGCTGTACTGCTTTGTTTATGATAATATGAAACAGGAATAAGAACTGTCTTATCAAGACTGGATTTGTTTTATTTATTCTTTTAGTCAAACCACCACCAGCATATTGAATTTTAATTAGCCCACAGATATAGCATTTAGATGAAGAAGTATTACTATATTTTATTTTGCAGGAATATGTCTTATCCTTGCCCCCCCCCCCCACAGTGTATTAGAATTATTTTGATTATCACTGAATGTTTAGGACTAGACAAATTATGTCCTGTTTATTTAATCATAAAATTTGTCAAGCTCTATGTGCTATAAATTATGTACCTACTTACTAAGCAAAAGCAGCCCTTGGATTTTGTGTTGATAACGTTGGCTTTGTTACGGACTGCAGCCAAACACAACACAGTTACTTTGAAATACATTCCAGTCTTGTACCGCTTGAAATATATTGGAAGTTATTGCGCCCATGGTCATATAAACTTCTACAAGTGATACTTTTCAACCACTGTTACCCTAAAATAGGTCCAGAAACATTGCTATAATCAGATTTATTTCCTGCCAGTTGTCAGCATTTTTGTTTCATAAGATTGGATTCTGAACATAAACAGATGTAAGTTCAATATGAAATCATGAACTAGCTTCACAAAGAAAGCATATATAGGAGAGTCTTGCTTGCCTAAGATAAACAGGCTGGCAGAACGCCGGATAAGCGAAAATGTTGGATAATAAGGAGGGATTAGGGAAATGCCTATTAAACATCAAATTATGTTATGACTTTACAAATTAAGCATCAAAACATCATGTTTTACAACAAATAGACAGAAAAAGTAGTTCAATACACAGTAACGTTATGTGGTAATTACTGTATTTATGAATTTAACACTGTGGATCTGGGTGGGAGTCTGCGTTGGATAATACAGAATGTTGGATAATACAGAATGTTTCTGATGCATTCAAGCATCAGAAATATTATATGAGGTACTGTAGATCATGGAAAACTGAAAAGTTCTGCAGGAAGAAGTAGGAATCACATTTTTAATGGGAAGGACACCAAGACTGTTCCATATTGCTGTTCTATTATTACATGATTTGCAAAATATGAAAAAAAAATA